TTTTTTCAATTTACCTACTCCTTCCAGCCACACTATGGCCCTGGGGTAAAGCACAATAGACCACTGTAGGTCGCAGTGCAAGGACCAAGAAGGCCCACCCCTTATACATTCATTCATTCATTCATTCATTCAGGCCCTGGGGTTGACTCAGCTTCTAAGAGAAATGAGTATCAGGAATCTTCCTGGGGGGTAAAGGGCAGCCAGTACGTAAGGCTGACAACCTTACAGCCATCTGTCAGCCGACTGTCTAGATAATGTGGGACCCTCAACATCTCACAACGCTATGGCCTCCATGGCTTGTTACAGGGATAGCTTTACCTTACCACAGTTACAGATCTTGTTTCACAGTCCCACAAAACCACATAAAATACTCTTTTTATACATCCTATATCTTTCCTTCTTTGGGAAGTAGTCATGGCCATTATACTTCAACAGTACAGAACGCTGATATCGGTCTTGATTATTGTATCTCAACAGCTTAAAAAGACAATAAGTTATTAATGGCTAACTAAGTGCTGAAAGTAACAGTAGAAGTAAATAACAGAAAAACTGATGGAACGACATCCCATCCAAAAGAGTGACAATGGTCTGAAGCCAGGTCTACTTGGCAAGAAGCCTGTGTAAAATTTACAAGACAATTTGTGCTTTCATTTTGTTTGTAAACCTCTAGTTATGATGTAAGTTTTGAGGTTTTCACGGCGATGACAATGAAGAAANCATTATGCAAGGGAGAAGGAATCCAATTCTGACATAAGAACACCAGTAGGACAAGATTCCATTTACTTCCACTGGGAGTAGAATGAATACAAAGGGCAGAGGGAATCTACAACTTAAAATGCAGTGTAAATTGTAGAGAAGGTCAAGTATTCCCCACATTCACAAAGGGTTGACTTTATGAAAAGTAAGGGATGATGTTTCCTGTAGGAAATTAAGATAAATATTATTGCTAATTCAGTCTCCCAGCTGCATAATGAAGTGGAAAGAGAAAATGATTACTCACAATACAATCAACTTCACTGACAGGCCGAACACCATCCTTCAATGGTCGGCAAAAGAATTCTGCCAAACTTCTGTATGCTTTAAGATCTTCATGGGCTGCCTCTTCTAGATTGCACCCAAATATAGACGCGTAATAACTGTACAGCCATGGGCGAACTGATGCTGGTAGCTGCTTCTTCATTATCCAGCCCCATATTCGACTCAGGATCCGAAGAGGAACTGCTCTGTAGCAAGTGACCTGAAAATGCATAATATTTCATTATGCGCCATTGCTCTGCATGACAAATTGTATGTGCAGTCAGCTCTCAGTTATTTTGAGTAATCAGTCTGCCACATGACACTGCACTATGTACATGCCTTGTTTTTATAAGAGTGCTCTTACAAATTTGCGTTTCGTTTTCTCTGGAATGGATGGCAAAATCAAGCAACATGTCTGCTTCAAATTTTGCATGAAGCTCGATAAATCTGCTACCAAAACCCTTGAAATGCTTCGTGAGGCTTTTGGAGAACATTCTTTTAAGCTGAACAGCGCATTTCAAGGTCGGTGGCATGTCAGTTGAAAGTGACAATCATTCAGGGCAACCAAGCAATAGCAAAACAATAGAAAATGTTGAAAAAATCTGAGAACTCATCAACGAGGACCATCGCCGAACAATCCATGAGCTTTCAAATACCGCTGGGATCAGTTATGGAGTTCACCAGGAGATCTTAACAGAAAATCTGAACATGTGCCACAGTGCCACAAAGTTTGTTCTCCAACTTTTGACAAATGATCAAAAGCAGTGGCACATAAACATGTGTCTTGAACTACGAGGCAAGGCTAATGATGACCCAACTTTTATCTCTAGGATCATAAAGGGTGATGAAAGTTGGACTTACAATTATGATCCAGAAACAAAGCAACAATTGTCGCAGTGGCAGAGCCCACAATCACCAGGAGCAAAGAAGGTGTGGCAGGTCCAGAGTTCAACAAAGAGCATGCTGTGTAAGATTTGAGGTTTTCACGGCGGTGACTATGAAGAAAGCAGTCTTCTGGGATTTGGCACGGTGTATATGTGGTGTTTACCGACGTTTCAGAGGAACGTATCACCTCCATCTTCAGAGTAGAAGGAAAAATATAAGAAATCCGCAGGCGAAGAGACCGTGAGAACAGGTACAAGCAGACAAGCTGAAGATGGAGGCGATACGTTCCTCCGAAACGTCGGTTAACACCACATACACACAGTGCCAAATCCCAGAAGACTGCTTTCCTCAAAGAGCATGCTGTTTTTTCTTTCAATATGAAGGGGATTGTTCATCGTGAATTTGTTTCTCCTAACACTACAGTCAACTCTGACTTTTACTGTGATGTTTTGAGATGCCTGAGAGAAAATGTGCAATAAAAAGATCAGAACTATGGTGTAACCACAACTTGCTCCTTCATCACGACAATGTGCCTGCCCACATGTCCCTGAAAACCACAGAGTTTGTGACTAACAACAACATGGTTATCATTCTCCATCTTCCCTACTTGCTGGACTTAGCCCACTGTGATTTTGTGTCGTTTCCCAAACTGAAAATGAAACTGAAGGGACGTTTTGAAACAGTGTCTGACATCCGAAGGGAACTGCAAGCAGTACTAAACAGCATTAAGTAAAATGACTTCCACAGTGTTTTTGAAGCGTGGAAAAACAATGAGGTCATTGTATAAGTCCCAAGTAGATTATTTTGAAGGAGACAGCAGCCAAATAAGTTTAGCCAACATTTCTTTTTTGACCCAGTCTGGGAACTTTCCAATACACCTTATGCAGTAAATTATAAAAAATGTATACTCATAGATGTATTTTATATCAAATCTGTTTACTCTTGTTCTGGTAGAGAGGTATGATATTTATGAACTGTCTTAAGGGGGGCACAATGTGTAAAACTTTGGGGATGTCTGGTATGTACATTTCACAGAAGTCTAACCTTCAAGCACAACCAATGACCCATGAGTCAGTCTGTGTGGAATAAAGTACAAATCCATCTGAACACCATCCAGCTCACTGTTGTTTAATCTGCAAAGTCATTTATGAGTAAACAATCTGGCCTTGTGTCTATGCACTGCTACACTCCTGCTACATATATGTACTGTAATCTAAAACAAAGTGGAGTGTTTATGAACAGATTCCACTCCTCTGTACAAGGGTGTATTTTTGTTTTCCTGCTAGTGGGGTGGGACTAAGTCCCTTGTCTGCGGCCACTTCTGGCCTACTGTACCAGCCCCAGATGATAGGTGAGGGGGACTGTGGAGCAATTGGTTGAATGAAGATTGGCAGGAGAAACCAAAGTACTCGGAGAGAACCTGCCCCAGTGCCACTTTGTCCACCACAAATCCCACTTAACCAGACCCGAGATCGAAACCGGGTTGCTACATAGGGTGTAAATGAAAAGTGCAGACAAACTTTGGAGCTCCTGCTGACAACAAAGAGGTGCTTCACCACTGCATTATGAATGCCTGTCACACTATTCACAACTACCTTTGCATCTTTGAACAGATACAGCGATCCATAGATGTGTTGAGGCATGCACTAAATCTCATGGAGGACATCTTGAGCACTTATTATAAATGTACATTTTCAGCTCTTACAAATGAAATGTTTCTGGGCACATGCCGATATGGACATGTTTTCTTGTTTTGGTATGTGGAACTTGTGACCAAAGTCTGTCTGCAACTTTCAGTTACACCATTTATATATGAACAAATGTGTCTATCGAGCACATCATTCCCTGATGATGGAGACAGACAAGGTCTCCGAAACTTTTGACAAAATTTGGCCCAGCATTCATACACCTGGCTGCCTGAGAAGATTTTATCACCTTTATTCAGTGTAAAAGCTTTAAGTCTTTTATATTAATTAGTATGAACTAACAGAAATTAAAGAGTTCTATCTTTTGGGATATAATGGTTTCGGAGAAACATGTCACCTCCATCTTCTGGATCAAAGAATAAGTCAAGCAAGAAACCAGCAGAGCTCCATTTGCTGATTGCTTTCATGCTAGTTTCTTGCTTGGCTTATTCTTCAACCCTGAAGATGGAAGCAATATGTTCCTCCAAAACGATTGGCTTTTAATGGACCAAATATTCCAGAAGATAAACATAACTACCGCAGTAAGAAGATCAGATCCTACAGACACAAAATCAAAATCTACATCCCCTTAGCTTTGAATTCTCAGTTGACACCAGGAATAATCACATACATCAGATTTGTCTAATGCATATGTTTCCAAGATTTAATTTCAAACTACTGAAGATCTGTAATTCAATTATCAATCAGAGAGGTACTTACTTCCCAATCCTTCGCCAAGACCAAGGTATTACTGTCAGTACTGCGCTTCTTCCAGCTGATATAATGCCACCGCAGGAAAGCAACGAGTACCAGCCCAATACCTATAGGAAGTGGGCTCAGTAACTGTGGAAGATGTTGCCCAAGCCCACGCCATTTCCTCTTGGTACTGCTCACTGCATAGTATAAGTCACATGTGTTGGTTTAAATATGCCATATCAATGCAAGAAGTGGGACAGCTGGCTTCCTTTTTCTTTGCTGCTTATTCAATGGTGCTGTCAGTACTGAGACCATATATCTTTGGATGATGGAATGACTATTGGATTGGAAAGGATGTGGAAGAAAGTGATTATAGTCTAACGGGGGTACAGTGAAACCTCGCTTAACAAGCATAATTCGTTCCAGAATCTTAATCGTAATGCGAAACACTCATTAAGTGAAACAATTTTTCCCTTATAAATTAATGTAAAATACGATAATGAGTTCCATGCTGAAAAAAATACTCAAAAAAATTTATGTCTAACGTTTATTCAAAGAAAATTACATATACATTGTTAAGGAGCGTGAATCATCTTCATCTTTTCTTCTATGTGGAATGAACCAACCTGGAATGCGAATTCGATTTGCAGAAAAAATCTAAATAATTAGTTTGTTATTTATGATACATACCGTATTTACCCATGTATAGGCCGCGTGCGTGTATAGGCCGCAGCACAATTTTCAGACAGAAATTATAGAAAAAATAATTTTCTTGGAATATTATTTCAGGAGTATTACACCCTGTATTACTAATTATGAATATATTTTTTTTTTAATGAAGTGTGATTTCGAATATTTCGAATATAAGCCGCACCCCAGTTTTCCTCTTGAATTTCTGGCAAAAAATGTGCGGCCTATACATGCGTAAATACGTTACATAATTCTTTTTTACTAGAAAGCTGTCTAGAGACATTTGTTTTTGCTGACGCTTCAAAATTTGGTGAAAATGCGATATAGCATTATCATTAAATAAATTTGTAGTGCATATAGCCACTGCCTTATTAGGGTGATGCTTCTCAATGTACAATGCAACAGTTTCCCATGCTTTCAGCATTTCTCTTATTGCGCCAGAAGATTGTTGCTTTGCTGTTACCTCCTCCTCTGACAAACTCTCCTCCACAACTTCTTGCTGTGAAACACAATGCAACTCCAAATCGTGCAAATCGTTGATGTAGACCGATTGTATGTGCATGCTAGATCAGCCACACTCACACCTCGTTCTTGCTTTTCAATGATTTTACGTTTCAATTCTACGGTTATTTTTATTCTCTTCTGTTGCGGCTTTTTCTTCGGGGACATTTTTGCAAGGGTTATTAAACTTCGCACAAAAAAATCACAAATAATATGTCTGAACACAAGTTTTCGAAAAATGTGTGTTCACAAGTGACACTAAGATGCTAGCGGAACGAGTGCTAAACACAGACTGATGTAGCAAGCGCACAATCCGGGACTTCCCCTCTCATCACTCATTATGCGAAACGTCACTCGTTAAGCGAGTAATTTTTTTTACAATTTATTTTGCTCGTTATGCGAATTACTCATGAGAGGTGCTCATTAAGCGAGGTTCCACTGTACTATCCAAGTATTTGCCTGAAGGAACTGACGAAAACCATAAAAAAAAAACTCAGTCAGATAGCCAATGCTATGGCTGAGATTTGAACTATGCACCTCAAAATATAAGTCTAAATTTTTACTGAAAGACCAACCTTTTCGGTACAGCCAACTTAGGAAACAAATTATGATATTTTACTTACACTTAACAACACAATGATGATAAAATTACTCACAAAATCATGTAAGTCCAGACAGTAATGCAAACCTGCACCTGTTTAACCTACAATACGATCACTGTCATATACTGTCCACATCAGCTACTGCAGTTTTTGTTTACAGAATGATTTGTTATTTAAAACAGTGTTTTTACCTACAAAAGTAACATATCACTCAAGAATATGTAATAAAGAATGTGAACTGAAGTCAAAATGAATGAGAATATGGTCAATATTTTACTTACCACAAAAATATTACCATTAAAAAAGCATATTCTTCAAAGCTCTACCACCACACAACATATAATAAATGGTAATAATCCCACTCCCACCTTGGGAGTTCATATGGCCATCAAGCTGATATTATCATGGGAAGAAATGAGGATGGCTGAAAGTGAGGTAATGTTAAATAGCCTGATATGCATAAAAAGTTTCATAGCAATCTAGCTATCTGCTGTTTCAGGTGTTAGGGGGAAGAGATTAATGAATATACACACAAACACATACATAAGCGTACATTTCTTTAAGAAAGGACCAAACAAGCCTGTCTACTTCTGAGATTAATGTACTGTATGTGATTTCACTCCACAGGTACCTCTACTATGGCCTTGTGGTGGGGCTTGCGTGGTCATGTGATCCTGAGAGCTATGCTGGTAGCAGCATAGCTACTCATAGGGTCTCCAATGCCAGACAGGTCTATGGTGATGATCCAGACAAAACAGGATACACTGGTCCTCCACGTTCGGGGGGCTTTGGCATGGGGTTCACAATCCCACCCCATAAAAAGCCTTATTTGTTGAGAAGCTTTTAACAACTGCAGCCAGATGGAAACACCTAAAATGACTTACGAGTAGGACCTAGAATGTGCTGTTCCTAGAAAGAAGTGGGGTACTTAAAATTAAATTGAGTAACTCAAGAATATGGCACTGATCTCTTAGCTATACAAGAAGTCAGATGATCTAGGGAAGAGGTTACTGGAAAAGAAGAACTGTATGGTGTATTACAGCTGCAATGACAAAGCACATTGTTCTGGAACAGGATTCACTGTCAGTAAACATCTAAGGACACAGATTATCAAATTCAGAAGCCTATTGATATGAAAATGTGTTTTAAGAATCAGAGGTAGATTCCAAAATTAGTTTTATCTGTATACATGCTCCAACAGAAAATGAAAGTGAAGTGGAAAAGGTTCACTTTTACTAGCAATTATGGAGAATGTACATCCAATGCCCCTCATATGACATAAGGATCATCATGGGTGATTTTTAATAAGGTTGGAACGGAGAACTGGGCTTATCAACTGTGGGAAGCCACAGCTTACATGATGAAGGAAATAGTAATGGAGTAAAGTAAAGTAAAGCTATCCCCGTACCACACTGTGAAGGCCCATAGGGTTGTGAGACGTTGAGGGCCCCACATTATGTAGACAATTGGCTCAAAGATGGCAGTAAGGTTGTCAGCCTTACGCGCCGGCCACGCTTTACTCCCCAGGAATATTATTTTATTAATTCCTGGTACTCATTTCTGTTAGAGGCTGAGTCGACCCCAGGGCCATAGTGCGGCCGGAAAGATTAGGTCAATTGAAAAAAATCCAGTGACCTCATCGGGACTGGAATCCACAACCTTCCGGCTTGTAGCATAGTGCCTCAACCAACTACGCTACAGCGTGTCCTTTATACAACTCATAAATTTTGCAGCCCAACAAAGGATGATGATGGGGGAACACGGTTTCCACATAAAAGTATACATACAGGAACATTAAGATCACCAGGTGGGAGAAAAGTTAACCAAACAGACCATGTGCTAACTGATCAGTGATACCACACAAATTTATAAGATGTTCAAAGTTTTAGAGGAGCTAATGCTGATACTGACCTAGAATGATTGACAGAATGACAATTAAAAAAGGTTCAAAAATTATGATAGAGATAGGCTAAAAAGACCTGAGTTTAATTACAGATACTGGAGATCAAGTTATTGGTAAAACAGAACTGAAAGAAATGTATGGTATGATGTTGAAAGTAAAGAAGCCATTAAAAATAAGAATGAAGCCTATTATAGGATGACACTAAAATACTACACAAGAGGGACTAATGAACAGTTTAAGGATGTGAGAATAGATAAGAGAATAGGAAAGAATTTAGACTACACATGGAAGCACGCAGAGACAGTACTAGACTAATTTTAAATGAAACCCCAGTGATAATGAATTGGTGTTAACAATATTTTCAGGATTTACTACAAGGTTCAGAAATGGATGTAAGTCATAAGAGAAAGGAAAGACAACAAGAAATTAATTAAGTAGAAGAAATGTCAAATGAAAATTAATACCCAACTATAGAAGATATAAAGGATGCAACAAAAAATGTTAAAAAATGATAGATTGCCTGGACCAGATAATATGATTTCTGATTTAAGATAACACAAAACACAATGTATATAACTCTCCATAAAGTGATATGTCAAGTACAGAAGGATGAAGTTATCACAGTGGGAGGAAAGCCTTATGTACCCTATTTCCAAAAAATGGAGATCAGTTGCATCCCAACAATTACAGAGGTATCACACTGTTAACTATGAATGGCTACAACCATATGTGGAGAAAATAATAGGTTAACTATCAATGTGACTTCTGACTATGGAAATCAACAATAGATAAGATCCAGTCAATTGGGGGGGGGGGCAGTGGAGTATGGAGTCTGCACACTTTACCTTTTCGTGGATTTCAAAGCCGCCTATGACACCATAAATGGGGATAAATTACTCAAGTTTATAAGGGAGTTTAGCCCTTTCACAATGATCGCCGCTTATATGCAGCGCGGCTGGTTTCTTAAATGTCGCCAATTGCCGCATATATGTGGCATCACACTCCCCATAATTCTGATTTCGATTGAAGAACATGTGTGATTTCTACCGAAAATTGAATTACGTTGCATTGTACATGAAATGTAGCTGTAACTTTTTGACATAAATACATGTAGGGTCTTTGAAGCCGATGTTCGCTAAAATGTCTATACAACCTGTCCAGAGGAAATATGTTCAGACGGTGTTTAGAGTCATGATTATTGTTCTTACACACATACGTACTTCGATTAGCTTGGTGAAAACTGATACGGCACTTAGATAAGCACACAGCTTTGACTGCAGAATGAATGGGGCTTTGTTGTGAGCTAGCAAACAAATAAGAGCGTGTGCATATGCCAGTCCATAACAGTTTGCCGATACGGAGCGGAAAGTGCGAAGTGGCCAGGCAGAACAAAATGTCATACTGAGGTTACATGAAAGACATTTCATTCAAGGGGTTGCTCTTTCTGGGAATAAATCAACGCCACAGAGGTGTGTGGTATGCAGCAAACATGGACGGAGGAGCGACTCGAGGTTTCACTGTCAGGAATGTGATGTTGGGCTCTGTGTGGACGGATGTTTCGAAGCCTATCATACACAACTTAATTTCTAAGGTAATTCTGCATGTTTAATTAAAAGTAGAGTATTTAATAGAAAAGTTATGTTTTATACAGAGCACAGTGTTCGTTTCCGGTTTTATTTTCTGTATTTCTAAATTTTCACGCCGTTTTTTCAAAAAATAATTGTGATCTTCAGACGAAAACATTGAAATATCGCCATGCTGTTTATAAAATCTAAAACTACTTTCTTTTCTGAATATGATGATAATTTTTCGCTTTGAAATTCCAATTTTCTTTGCATTTACAGCGAATTTATAAAAGTTGTGCATTTCTGGAAGAAAATTTAATTATCCTCCGTCCACCCAGTAAGGCTTACTTTAAATGCCGTTCGTTGCCTAAGGATTAAAATACCCCAGAAGTTAACTGGATTGGAAAGAGCAACTTTGGAACATGTAAAATGCAAAGTGCACAATAATCTATCTATAACCATTTGGAACATCAATGGGCTTAAGACAGGACGATGCCTTGTCATGTATTTATTTAACATAGCACCAGAAAAGGTGGTCAAAGATTCGGTAATAGAAACTAAAGGAAATATATATAATAAAACAAACCACATACATGCATTTGCATACATTGTATTAGTTGGGAGAACCACAGGTGTGCTAAAAGAAACAATTATTAACCTCAGAAAAGCAGCGAAGGAAATGGGCCTTACAATCAGTCTAAAAGAAAAAAAAAAAAAACTAAATATAAGGAAGTAAACAAAATGCCATTTAATTCATGAATGCTTACAGAAGTGAAAGCTGGCCCCTAAAATGGAAAGATGAAAAATATGTTCCAAATCTTTGAAAGAAGAAATGTAGGCCCAATTAAAGAAAATGGTAGATGAAGATCAAGATATAACCCTTAACTTTATAAATTATAGTGTGACATTACAACTGAAAGGAGAACTGTTACTAAGTTACAGCATAGCAAACAACTCATAAGTATAACAAGTGCACACGCAACAGAGGAACAGTGTTTTCTGTACAGTCTGTGTTGAGGCTATACAACAAACAGTACGAGTGTCCAATAACTCTGACTACTCATCCAAAACCCGTCTATAGTCACTCCATCATGTGACAATATATTCAACCAAATAGAGCAAAAGTGGGAGGTGGGAGGTTTTGATGGCTGGGCCAACTTTCTAGAATGCAGGTGCAGAACCCTTGCAGGAAGTTAACTGCACATAAATTAGAGGGTACTTGAGGAGTAGGCACACCTGCTATCAGCTGGCAGGATTCAGTTGACAAAGATTTGAGAAACAAGGGGCATTAGAAAAGACACAGAATTGGGACCAATGGTGAGTAATCATAAAAGAGGCCAAAGTTCCTCATGGACTGTAGCAACTGCAGAAGATATGATTTTATACACATAAGAGGAACTCACTCTCTCTCTCTCTGGCTCTACAGCTCTTTGGACCTTGGGTGCTTTTTCAGTTTCTTAATTCTATACACAGTCAGTAGGACTCCTTGGACGCAGGATCAGCCCATCTCAAGGCCACTACCTACACAAGCATAACACAAACACCAAATAAATACACACAGACATACATGCCTCAAATGGGATTCGAACCCGCGACACTAGCATTCGAAGAGGACTAAGACCACTGCAATCAGCCAACAGGAATTCAGCATAACGAATAATGAACGAGTGTGGCCATTTCTACACAAGTAAATAGTGGGAAACTTATCTCAATGTGACTTACCTGAAGAATCATTTGACACTTGAGCACGGTGCCAGAGACTACTATGGTGGGCAGATGAAGGTGTCTGGGGGATATGAAATACAGCACTGTATTTTAAGACCTTTCCCTGACGTAGGAATCTGAAACACCAAAGCAGCATACTATTATCAAATTTCCTTTGTCTCCAGATGAACAATCAGAAAATCTTCCCCTTATATATAAAAGCAGCAAAACCAGATTTCAAAGGAAAGAAGATTCCTGGTGCTAGAATATAATTTAGAAAGAAATTTTTTATGTTTACACTGTCTCCTATACATGTACGTATTGTCATTTTAGTACATCTGTTCAATTACAATCACTGCAGGGAAAATTGTCATGGTGGCAGCGGCAGTAGTATAAGCCACTGAGGTATGTACAAGGTGCGGCAATAATGAAACCGGATTCATGCTCTAACCCTTTATTGAAAAAAAATCAGACAATCGAAATGTTATCCCCTTCAATGTAGTCCCCTCCCCGATCCCTACACCGCTCCATGCAAATTTTCAACTGTTGGAAGCAGTGCTGCAGATCATCTTGTGTTATGCTCTTCAAGAGTTGCGTCGCTTTTGCTTTCACTGCATCCCCGGACTCGAACCTGGTCCCTCTGAGCGCAGACTTGATTTTCAGGAAGAGAAAAAAGTCGCGCGGTGCTAGGTCCGGAGAATACGGTGGATGTTCCATCACTGGAATGTTGTTTTTTGCCAAATATCACTACACAGATAGCGCGTTGTCGTGATGAAGAACCCATGAGGCATTCTTCCACATGTCTGGTCTCCTTCGTCGCACACCTTCACGGAGGGTCGTCAAAACATTTTTATAATAAACCTGATTGACAGTCTGACCTTCAGGCACCCAATCAATGTAGATTACCCTCCGGATATCGAAAAAAACAACCATCATTGCTTTGAATTTGGACTTGCTCATGCGCGCTTTCTTCTTCCTAGGGGATTTGGGGCTCTTCCAATGCATGGATTGTCGCTTAGTCTCTGGATCATATTGAAGAATCCAAGTTTCGTCACACGTAATTACGTTTTGGAAGAAATCAGGATCATTTTCAATGTTTTCAAGAGTGTCAACACAGCAATTCACTCGATGTTCCTTTTGCTGGGGGGTAAGGATTTTTGGCACCACTTTAGCACACGCCTTTTTCATGCCCAGATCGTCGTGCAAAATCTGTCTAACACTTTCCTTATTGATGTTGGTAAGTTCAGAAATTGCTCGAATGCTCAGTCGACGATCTCTTCGAGCAATTCTAGCGATCTTCCCCCATTCTCTGGAGTTTTCGCAGTGGAAGGACGGCCCGATTTTGGATCGTTCCCGACGTTTTTCCTACCCTCCATAGACTTCTTAAACCATTCAAAATCTTGTGTGCGAGATACATACTGATCACCATATACTTTTGTCAACAAATTGTAAGTTTCAGTGGCAGATTTTGCAAGTTTTGTGAGGAATTTGATGTTAACACGTTGTTCTGCATTAGCACTCAGCATTATTCCGACGGAGCTCAGACACACGATCCGCTTCTAACAATGGTCGCGGCCAGACTAACCGATGCACGTGAATGAAACTTTGAGTGACGGTAGAGGGAAGTCCACGGGTCAATGCCCTACCCTCCTCTTCGTCATCGACGTGGTCGGAAATGAGTCATAAAAGTAATCCGGTTTCTTTATTGCCGCACCTTGTACAGCAGAGGGCAAAGTGTAAAAAAGGAGAAGATCTATCAGGATTATTGGGTTTTCGGACTTTGTCCACTGTCCAGTTTTCCAAACAACACAATGTTTCAGAAACTGAATCTGTTTTGGTCCTCAGACGAGAGGGTGGGAGACACCTGCTCCTCTGGTTCCTTTTGGAAGAATCATCCATCCATCCACGTGCGCCTCTAAAAACTATGAAACACTCATTTTCCTCTAAGAGTAGCCAAGCAAATTTAATTTTGGATTAATCCTACTTTACATGAAGTTCCAACAGAACTCTACAAACCGCACTCCAAGAAAGAATCACAAAAAAAAAATGGTACAATATAAATTTAGGCTTTATTACACTTTATAATTTGTATTTGAAATATTTTTAAGATAAACAGTTTATTAAATACACAGAAAACATAATGTCATGTCCATGCAGAGTTAAATCTGTATGGCACTTAGTTTTGCAGCAACAGATTTCGATATGTTGCTAAGTGTACATAAAAGCCACAGAATCATGCAAACTGATGAAAAACACATCATGCAAATGTGAACTCCAATGAACTACATCTTTGTTCACAAACTTTACTAGATATTGCATACTTTTGGGCCCTCATTATGGCCAAATACTATGTTTTAACATATCACATTATCATCACTAATTCAATAAAAAAACTTAAATGCCCAAACACAATTAGCCATGATAAAATCAGGATAGCTAGGAAACAGAGAAGGCAAGTGAAATACCTCTATAATGCAAGATGTAAGGAAAAAAGAAAATAACTTCTGATTAATTTAATGATAATTCAATCCAATACAATTCCTTGTACTATGTTACAGATGGAACTCAATTCTACTGATATATCACCAGTGTGTGCCCTGCCACACACTACTGATATATCACCAGTGTGTGCCCTGCCACACTGTTTATTACATGTTCATTACAATATCTGCATTGACACTGCTTCAGTACTTACATGACTTACATTTTCCTAGATGTATACTTAAATTCATATTCCTATCAAATTATCCCATACTTATATTTTACATCTGGAACTTTGGCACTGAAAAAGTTGGCTCCAGCACTAATACTTCTGATCTGTAGTCATGAAATGCCAATCTGAATGTCAGGTGCAACACCAGATATCCCAACTCAGATTTCTGTGGTTTTCCTAAGTCCCTCAAGGCAAATTCAGGGATAACTTCTTTCAACATCCTTCCCATTCATTATTCACTACACATACATTCATTCAATTACATACAGTCTGAGTTCCTGACATCATCATTCGGGCAACTACCACGAAATTTGTACAGCTAGTGTAAGTAGTGACACAACTGACATTTAATAGAACATGTAAACTATTTCTTGTTGTAATAAAACATAAATATTTCTTTCAATAAATTAGTTTTTGTACATATATGTACTGCCTTCAAACTTATGACATCTAAAAATTCTCAATAACATTATAAATTCAAGCATACACTGGATAATACATGGCCACATGCAGTGTCCTAATATCTATAAGGCACCGAGCCCAGTGCCAATTATCTCCGAATGCGTTAATATTTCAATCATACACTTTGATACTGTTTGATACTTTGATACACTGTTAAATAACTTTATGGCACATATATATAACACAAAATCAGTGGATGAAATTTCACTCTATTTTCATGAGCTCAGTCAAGGAAATTCATTTAACAGATTTTTGTAAATGAGAAACATCTTTCTGCACTCAAAATCAAAAGTTAAAAATTCAAGAAGAAGACTTACCCTAATCTATTCATAATGTGTGGAAACATTATTGTGGATGCACCCAAGTTTAAGCGAGAGCAAAATTTACACTCTCTCTCTTTGTCATCACTATCTTAAAAAAATGGAAGAATCCTGAAAAAGAACAAGAACAAAGGCATCGGTATAATGATAACGGATCCAAACAAATGCAAAACGTGCTTACTACGTCGGGTCTACTGTAACACCTGTCATGATATAATGACCGATAATGACAGTGGTTATACATACATACATACATAGAAACATAATTTCCCAGATCCATTGTCCGGACACCGGACCGGATATTTTATTCGTCAGCAAAATGACATTGC